GCACACCCGGTTCGTCGGTGCTAATGTAACGTGCCCCCCCCTCTTTTTTAGCTGCCTTCCCCCCAAAAAAAACAGCAATAAAGGGATTGAGAGTGGAGCCGGGCCCCCCCCTTCTCCTGCAGCTGCGGGGCTGAGGCCGGGTGGCTTCGTCACAGGGATGGGCTCAGCTTCCTCCCACACTCCTCCTCTGTGGGGCTCACAGGGAAACTGAGGCACGGGGGGGACATGGCCCTGCTCGGGGTCACCATGTCCTCCCCTCTGGGGGTGACAGGAGTGGGGTTGGGGACCAGCTGGTCTGTCCCTGTAACCCTGTGGTCCCCTGTCCTTGTGTCCCTGTGTCTTCAGGACCTTGGGTCCCCATGGTCCCATGTCCCTCTCCCCATTCCAGGACCCCAGTGTCCCACGTCCCCATGTCTTGTGGTCCTGTGTCCATCTCTCCCGTGTCCCCACAGCCCCATGTCCCCCTGTCCCCGTGGCTGTGTGCCCCCAGGACCCTATAGCCCCTGTCCCCCTGTCCCCCAGTCTTCCCCCGTGTCCCCCAGTCTGCCCCCATTCACAGGAACATCCTCAAGCTGCTTTTGGGGACCCGTCGGGGCTTCTCCACCCACCAGCCTGACCCTGCACATGCGTGTGCCCCAACACGTGTGTGCACAGGAACACGTGTGTGCGTACGGCCCCTGCCTGGCTCAGCCTCGTGCCTCAGTTTCCCCGTGGCCACAGGAGCCACGTGGCAGTGCTGGGGCACGTGGCAGGGCCACGTGCTAACAAAGACACCCCAATTTTGGGCTCTGTGGGCTGGCGGGGACCCCACTCCCCTCCCCCTCCCCGTGCCCTGGGCTCCCGCCAGCCCTTTGATGTGCCCAGCCCTGGTTTGGGGCTTTTCCTAAAAAAAAAAATCCCCAAAAGCCACGGAAAAAGGCAAAAGGAGGTGGAAACGGGCTCCTGTGCCAGCACAAAGCGTGTGGGGGGGAAGCCACTGGCACCCACTGCCCTCGGGGGGGGACATGGGGACAGGGATGGCAGCAGGTCCCTGTGCCAGCGTGGCCGGGCCATGGCCACGTGTGCCAGCCACGGGTGAGTCACGGTGGCCATGGCTCGGCAGAGCTGGCCAGGCCCCAGGTGTCCCCAGGGAAAGGGGGGACACGCTGTCCCTCCATGCAGGGCGGGGAAACTGAGGCACAGCAGCACCAGCGGGGTGACCAGAGCCCAGTGCCACCACACAGAGCTGTGCCCAGGGTGGCTCCCAGGAGGATTCAGGGTGGAGGGGGCCACCCCTC